AAATGACAATTTTGAGAATTCAGTTTAAACACTAGTCTGTTTTCATGTGGGAAGTAATAACTCAGCTCCCATGACCAGCTAGGTGCTGTATGAAGCTTCCAGCTGGAATGGTGGTGGTAAAGGCCATTTCCAGCAGATCTCGTGCTATTAATAATCAGCTTAAAACTGACAATCAGGTGGGGGTTTTGTTTTTTTAGAAACGAGTAGTGCAAGGAAAAGAGCCACCTCATCTGATGAGCATGTTTGGTGGAAAGCCCTTGATTGTTTATAAGGGTGGAACCTCCAGGGAAGGAGGACAGACAGCACCTGCAGAAACACGGCTGTTCCAGGTCCGATCCAGCACCTCAGGAGCTACCAGAGCAGTAGAGGTATGTGGGAAGAGAGCCAAATTTCATGTTGTAAGCATAGGTGGTGGTAGGAACGCAATCCTTTTGAATAGAACAAAGGCCTAATTCTACTTTCTGATGTAAACTGAAACACACTTCGAAACCTGTATAAACTGTTAAGAGCTTCCCCTTTTCCCATGGATAAGTAGTAGTGGTTATCACTATGTTTTCATTGGTTTATTAGTGTCACTTTGATTATATTTAAGCCCTTTTCTCTTAAGTCCTCAATAGATGTTGTACCCTGTATACAGTGATACTTTTCAAACTGCTGAAAACAATCAGGATCTGGTGTGGAATGTCAGGACCTGTTCTAAGTGTGTGTGTGACAACACTGCTACTAGCGAAAGATAGAAAGTGCTAAATACTTAATATGCAAATGTTTTGCCCTGTGTCTTTAAAAAAAAAAAAAACAGATAAAGAAATCCTGGTCAATAGCGATAGGTGAGATAAGGAGCGTTGTTTTATGTCAGCACCAACTTGCTAATTTTCTAGCTTCATGATGGCGTATCTTTGCCGACGTAGAGGAAATTATGCCAATCAGTGACTTATCAGCCAAAATGGCAGGGATATTGCTCTACAAAGGTCTCCCCAGCAAGTTCTTAAATCTCCTGTCACAACCATTAAGATCTGGCAAAATGACAGCTCCAAGTATTCTTAGCATACGTCACTTGTATGCATAGATTAGAGAAACACACATTTATTTACTTTCCTCATATGATTAGTCCTAGGTCATTACTCAGTAGACAAATACACAGCATCTCTGGTAACCTTACATGCTTGCACTGAATATCTTGTTTGAAGTTTATTCAACAATAGGTACTGATTATTATTTTGAAATAATGAGCTCTGTGTAGAGGATGGTTACGCCTGACCCATGCAATGTTCTTTCTTTTCAGCTGGATCCTGCTGCCAGTGAGCTGAATTCCAATGATGCCTTTGTCCTGAAAACTCCCTCTACTGCTTACCTTTGGGTTGGCCAAGGAGCCAGCAATGCTGAAAAATCAGGAGCACAAGAGCTGCTGAAGATTCTGGGAGCTCGCCCAGTACAGGTTTCTGAGGGCAGAGAGCCAGGTGAGGGAGGCACAGCTGAGTTTGAGATTATTTTCATATAGCTACACTTTATCAGTCAGTGATTGTTTCATGGATATTTTCTTTTATCTCCCAGAACAAGGAAAGATGGACATAGGCACAGAACAGCTTCTCCAAACTGTCTTCACTATACTTAACAGCACACTCATGTTTATAGGCCCTCCATACTTTCTGAGTTAAGACAGACAACTGCATGACACAGATCACTCTGCTGTGTGGAGTCCTCAGGTCCTATCCAAGCCATTCTGCTACTTTGGATTCCATGTATAGTTGGATCATCAGTATCTTGTTCTCTTTTGCAGATAATTTCTGGGCAGCTTTGGGTGGAAAAACTGCTTACCGTACCTCTCCCCGGCTGAAGGACAAGAAGATGGATGCTCACCCCCCTCGTCTTTTTGCATGCTCCAACAAGAGTGGGCGCTTCACTGTGAGTGTCTGGGAAGATAGTTAATTAATTCACCATCCATCTGACAAGTCCCAGTCTGCTCCTGAGTCAGCCAGTAGGCAGTTACACCTTATCTTCTGTTGCAATGTTTCCTCCAGAAGGAAAGCATCAGCACCATTTTTCTATAGAGATAGCAGCTAGTTCTATAGCACTGTTACCAGCACAACAACTTTCTTCAACAGCAAGCTCGTCCTCCCTTCATTAACAACTAGCTTTCAAACTCCTCTAATTTTGACTCAGATATCTTTCAAGTAAGAAGACGCAGCATTAAATGTTTTGTGCATGAGTGAAAGACTAATGAGATTCACAGAAGACGATACTAGAACCAGTGTGAATCACATTTCCCCTGCTGAGGTAAAATGGTGCTTGGGGGTATGTGCTCATCTTTTAACCTTGTTTTCCAGATTGAAGAAGTTCCTGGAGATCTGATTCAGGATGACCTTGCTACAGATGATGTTATGATCCTTGACACATGGGACCAGGTATGTCACACTTATCTAATGAAGAGGGAAGCAAGGAATAAGCAATATGTGGCTCTAGAGACCCAAATTGCAATAGCTAGAAGACTTACTGCATCTTAGCATCCTTTTATCTTCAGGCCTGAGAACAAATTATCTCACTAATGACTTTGAAGAGAGCTTGCAACCAGCATTTGAGAAAAGAGTTGGTGTCCTGCCGCTTCTTTTGGTTAGCTTACAGGCTGAAGAAAACAGACTTTTGTGTATTATATGTACACTCCATATCTATGAACTTCTTAATAGCAGCATCCTTGTCCTGTCTGTAGACAATTGACAACCGTTGTTAGGATTCAACGGTTTAAGATAATGACACATCTTCTGTTACTGAAAACAGAGGGCTCATTAGTGGCTGTGCATAGTCAGCCAAAAGGCAACTTAGAGATGAATTTTTGTATTCATTCTATGTAAAAATGATGTTCAAAGACCAGCTAGTTCTTCCTAATATTAAGCTAGTATATAATTTGTTCACATATCTAGAATTTAATGCAGATAGAGTGCAGTCAAAAAGCTTCTTGTTGGCTACCAGTAGCTCTAGTTACTTAATTCAATGTTAAATCGGTCAATAATTCAGGCACACCTGAACAAACGTCCTAGTTTTTTTATCACACTCGTCTTTACTTACTGAGTTTTTGCCTAACTTACTTATGCTTTCTTTCATATAGAGATCGTTGCTGAAATAATTCATGTGACTTTTTATCTATAGGTCTTTGTATGGATTGGAAAGGATGCCCAAGAAGAGGAAAAGACTGAGGCCTTGAAATCTGGTAATGCCATCACATTTTCCTCCCTGAAATAAACCTCTTTTTTTCTTTTCCTAGCGTTTGATCATAAGGCAGGCAATTTCATACACTGAGAAATGTGTCTTAATCACAATATAAAATTAAATGCTGTGATCAGCCAAAGGAATCAAATATGTCTAGAAAGGAGGAGCCCTAGAATCAGCAGAGAGGTGCAGTTGTCAGACACCCTGTGCTCACCTCTCAATAGTGAAAAAGTATCCTTGTGTCTCTAAGCAGGTATAGATTGCCACTGTCTCAGTGTGTGTGTGTGGGGGGGGGG